ATTATACCAAATTAAACATGAATTATCTGCTTATAAATTCCACGAATTACTTTTAAGAAAAATATTCTATAACATGGATAAAATAAAAATAATGTAAATGCTGTAAAAGCGTCAGGAAAGCATAATACACCCTGTACACTAATCTATGCTTTATTCTAATTGGTTAACACTTTTGCAAACTTGATATCATTTGGGCAGTATATAAGACCCAGGATTTTGTGTTAACACTTCAGTCTATTTGTATCCCTTGTAATGAAAAGTCCTTTGAATAAAGTCTTGTTATTTATAAAGTGAAACGTTGTTTCATAGTCTTGGCCTACTTTAAGTACAGCTGTAGGCAGAGACCGAACTGAGAGTTCCCGACAAGGCTTTGGACTTTGGGATCGATCCGAAGATCAAGACTCGAGAACGGTTTTGGTAACCCGTTCATTGCACCACCGATTACCTATCAGGAACTGTTTGGTAAACAGTTCCATTGCATCGATACCATACCCGGAAACGGCTTTGGGGATCCGTTTCTGTATTCCGTTATCAGCTCTACCATCACAGAACGCTACACCACTACTGACCGCGAAATCCATACATAACAAATATGTTAATTGTTTTACAGAAAAATCAGCTAATGTTTATCTACAGCTCTAGGTGCAGATAACTTAACCACTTGAACTTGGTTCATATCCTAAAAAGTGCACGTCAATAGTTCTTAAATAGTTTTGATTCAAATTAATGTTACATATATTTTAGCATACCATATTTAAAACAAAAACTACCAGTACTTAATGTACCAACATAATTTACCATCATGCTGAGTTTAGGATTGCACGCTTATTTACCAATTAATAACGTGTTATTTAGAAACATTAAAAACCTTTGTGGGTATTACAGAGACATAAAGTATCGTGTATACGAGCATTGATTAAACTTTTGAAATAAGAAATCCAACATGATTGCTCTCAAGGGTTGTCATTAACTGTACCAAACGACCTAACTGAAGTCAAAAGTTGACTTTACATATTTTTGTGGTAAGAGATGTCGAACTCTAGCTTAAAGATCTATCTGAATCATATAATAAGAAGTATTTTGAGGCCCATTTGTTATTACATAAATACATATAATTACATATTTTGAATGTTAGCACATATTTTCAAATATTTTGTGGAAATCAATGAAATAAATAAAAAATATACAATTTTGTCAATAAGTTTACAAAATTATAAACAAAATAATTTTGGGTCAAATGTTAATTTTATTCTAATAAACTAATACTACACATAAGATAAAAGTAGTTTTTGTTTACGTAACCTGTAACACATTTTTAAATATAAATTTAAATATATATTTTAATAATTCTGATAATTACAATTAAGAAAATTGTGTCAGTTAATGTATATTTGTGGTTATCTAGCATAGTTTTTGTTAAATGTAATTTTTAGCCACAATTCATCAAAGAATAATGTTGTTTATTTAAAGTTTTTATTGTATTAAAATTCAAATTTTAGGTCTTTTATTACCACATATAATCACATATTTTTCAAGTAATTATGTTACATATTTTTGGGCTTATTATCATATACATGTTATTTTTTACATAGTTTAATAACTAGCATATTGGATAAATCCCAAATGAAATATTTATATTAAAAATATTAATTATCTAATTTAATAATAATATTGTCGCACTTTTCTCACAAATGATTGCACTTTTATGACCGGAAAATCCCTATTAATTTTGTTCAGTCGTACAATTATTTTAATAGCATAGTTAATTCATATTAAAATTACACCTGCTACTATTAGTAATCATATTAATTAGGATCTACACGCAAAGTGGCAATGTAATTTTATTAAACAAACATTTTCCAATAAACAATAATAGGATTTGAAAGTTGTCTAATTTATAAATATTTTAATCGTCAATAAATTACTAGTAGAAAATGCAATAATATTTACAGGTAAATATCCTGGTTAATTTTGTTGTGCAATGATAATAATTAATTGATAAAGATCATTTTGTTCAAAGAATTATGAATGAATCATTACTAACAATGTTATTACCGGTATATCTCTCGCCAATCGTCACAATATATTAATTAAATATTTTATTTGTTAAATAAGTGCTCAATACAGCTGCACAATACTAATCAATTAAAAATATATCTATTATACTTTATACTGTGTACTAAACTACACGAGTTATCATTTAATATTACGGCATTTGATTTATTATTCTATTACAAATTACAAATAAAATATTTTATAATTAGATTTCGTGCTAAGCGTACATACAAACCAATTAATTATATGACAAACAAACCAACTGTCTATTTAATAGGGAATTGACTGTATTAGATATAAATATAAAAGTATTGATATTAATATTTTTCTATAAATAATTTCTATAATTTTTAAAACAGTAAAATATTTCACTTTATTTTCAAAGCCTTACAACTCTTTAATGTTTATAACTTAAGGATTAGTTTTAATTAAATGAAAAAATTAATACAAATCAACATGATCTCAACTATTAAGTCATACTTAAGATTTATATGCTTGTTAAGGGTAGAGCCCCTGATGTTATTATTTACCACGTGTTACTTCTTGAAACGTAATCCACAGGACGTGTTATTTCAGGACAAGTTATGCCGTAATAAGTATAATATGTCGGAAGAGTTTTGTCTTCATTTGTCGGACAATCACCCGAACGATACAGACAGTGGTCTGCGGACAGAGATCTTGTCGGACGCCGTGATGTATAACGCGTACAACCAATGGATGACACTTCCGGTCAGTATTGTTTGGTCACTGTTTTTGGGCGCTTGGATTGACCGCTACCCCAAAGGCCGCAAATGGGTGTTCATTATCGGCACAATCACTCAGGCCATGGAGGCCGCCATCAATGGACTCAACTCATACTTTTTCGCCAGTCTTAGTAAGCATTTTGTTTCATTATTTTTGTTAAGTTATTTTTTTGTTTAACAATGTTTTGTCACTTTACTCTTTGTGTATTGTTTTTGTTTGTGTAAATTATTTAAATATGTTGTTGTTTATTTAACTAGATGTAAATTGGATATTAATCTCATATGTGCCGTACATCCTATCGGGTGCCTCCACCTGGACAACCATATACTCGTACGTTGGCATCACTACACCCGCCAAATACCGGACCACACGTATGACCATCATTGAAGTGATGTTTGCTTTTGGTATACAATCATTTCATTAATACAATACAAATATCGATATACTATTAATATTGTTATTTACATTATTTTTTGCTGTGAATGACATTTATTGATCAAAAACAATATTTATTTTAATAACAGCGCAACCATTGGGCGTATATTTAGGGGGTTTACTGATAAACAGGGCGCCGGTGGGCGGCAACGGCCAGTTGCACAACACGGGCCTTATATTTCTGGTCTCGTGTATTGGTAATATCGTTGCCTTTCTTTGGGTCCTATTATTCATTAACCAACAAAAAGATAGCGAAAATTTTGAGAAATATTTCGGTGACGACAATACTGTCACCAAAAATGTCAATGAATTCAATGACTTGAACACAAATATTGACACAAACACTGATAACGAGACAAAAACTATTGTCGATAACAACAAAGCCATACATCCATTGCGGCTACTGTTGGACTGGAGGAATGTAAAGGATATAGTGATGTCTTGTTTCAAGAGTAGGTCCCACTTTGTGAGGGCGCAGCTAATGTTGATAATAATGGCCGACTTTTGTGGCTATTTTATAAAGTCCGGTATTTTGACGTTTGCCTTTCAATTTGCTGAAAAAATTTATAATTGGGACTCAAAAGTGTTCTCCGAGTATCAGTCGATGTCACTCATCATCACATCCATCAGTGTCTTACTGCTAACCTCGGTGTTAATCAGGGTATGTATTCAATGTTTACCACGTTTTATGTATAATTATTTACATATTATTTATAAATTTTTTAAATGTATTTTTGTTAATATTTTTATAATTTTATTTACAGATCTTTAAGTGTAATGACATGTGTTTAGCGATCATAGGATTTCTGAGCATATTATTGCAGAACCTGATACTGGGAGTCATATTAAAGCCGACGGGTTATTACATCTCGATGGGCGTGAACTGTATGAGCAGTTTGGGTAACATAGGTTACAAAACGCACCTGTCCAAAATAATCACCCCGCTCGAATTGGGCAAAGTGTTTACGCTGGTATCGGTGGTCGACGCCATAGCGCCCATCATAGCGGCCCCGCTATTTGCGTTTGTGTTCAAAAACACGATCGACACATTACCAGGAACATGTTTCCTGATACTGGCCGGTGTGGCCAGCATTCCCATACTCATAGCCCTAACCATAGACTACATAAATCGCTATAAGATTACGGTTATTATTAAGACCCACACGGAGTGCGTGGAAAATGGTATTATTAATAGTAGTGTTGGTAATAATAATGAGTGTAATACAGGGATCAAGAGATAATCAGCATAAGTGTTTTTAAGTTAGGAATTTTATTTGATGTGAGCGAGTGTATTTTGTGAAGTGAAATACTCTACTGTAAACTTTTACCCTGATCCTAGTCATGCGCTTGGTCCAAATGCAATCATTGTAATCAAATCATAAGTTATCATTATTGTTAATAGTGTTATATTTTATTGTACAAAATATTATTTATATTGTATTTTATATTTAAATAAATATTGTCATTGAAAATAATCAACATATGATTAGCGAGTATTATTTGAATTTAGTTGTAAATAATTGTAATGTTTATTTAGGTAGATTTATTATCGATTGATTTTTAATATTAAAAGTACTTCAATGGTAAACAAAACAGATATTATTTACATTTATCGCATGCATTGTATTAGAAATAATATGATGATAAAATTATTTTTAAATATAAAATCACTATAATCAGTCAAGGCTTCGGGCACGGTCGTTTTTTACAGTCACACATCAAGCATACACAGTACACTTATAAAGGCATATAATGTACCAGGGCAATTTTCGAAATTATTATGAAATCAGTTAAAAAGTTTATATTTCAAGAGCAGAAATACATGTGACTTAACGTGTGATTAAACAAATGCAAAGATAGTCTTAAGCCACGAATCAAATTCCGATTACTTCTTAATTACACAATAAAACAGATGCTGAGATTTCACCATAATACAATAATTATAATCTTACAAATTGTTTGTTTTATAATTTACTATTGTTTACTCAATACAAACCATATGGGGTATTGTGTGTGCGATAACACCAAGACTGAAATGCGTGGATAAATTATTTACTTAATGTTTGTCAAAACAATTATCGACTGATTTGTTAGTTTCACTGAAAACGTGTGATAATTTTCTAAACCTTGTGGGGTAAATAGTCGCTAGAATTTTGCAATAAGCACAATTAAGTTCACTGTCAATGTTATTTATGAAGGTGAAACATATTAACACTTTTTAAAGTTTTTTACACAATCATTATCTATATATTAATAATGGTTTACAATTATTCAGTTAGTATAATATTATAAAACAAAATTTGCATAGTATTTATTAATAACCAAGGTACTTTGATTATTACCATAGAACTACTATGATAATTTTAACACAATTATTTACATAAAGTTTAATTATAATAATAGTATTTTAATCATAATCACATTAATGGGGCATGATTATTCTTGTCCTATTTTTACTAGCTTTAACCTAACGCTGTTAACATGAGAATTAAACGAGCATAATCAAAATAACATTATAACAATCTAATTGTATTACATATTTTAGGTAATTTATTGGAAATTTACCTTTTAAACATAATTTTACACAGATTAGATTAAGCAATTAATAGAAACACCAATTGGCAAACAGCGGTGATGGAATTTTTACTAGTTTATACTGGTTGATTATCAAGTAAAATCCGTTATGTTAAGCACTGATTTATTATACTATCAATTAATGACATAAAGTTTACAATTTAAATCAGTAGTGAACACTAGATATAAAATACAAAATCTTCATTTAAAAATTGTAGCAAGTGTTCAGCACTGATTACTACAGTGCTACTACTACTTGAATTTATTTTGATTGCATATTAATATATAAATGCTATCGTGTCTTACAGTTAAGCATCACATAAATAAAGTCTAATACAAATATATAGTTTATTAAATACTGTATTGGCATTTCTTTATAAAAATAAAATATTATAAATTTTTAATTATAATTTAAATTTAAGAGACAGGAATCTAACAAGTTACGATATACTGTAAGATACTAAAACAATACATTTTAAAAGTATTTCAATTATTGTATGTTAATTGTATTCATTTATGTTAAATCATTCAATCTAAGTAATTTCTAGCCATTTGGTCAGTCTATTTACGACTACTCTCTGATAAAAACTGATTAATTTTACATTTCTATATTTAATTACTAAATCATAATTTACAGTATGTGATTGGATATCAAAGGAGATAGATATTTAGAGTTAGGAACTAATACTATAATCACTAATCTAAACACTCAAGTTTTATTAAATTATTTAGCACGATAATTAAGGATATTGATTGATTGACAATATTAATTTGTAATTTATAAAGTTGGCAGTCAAATAACTATGACATTTTATTTTATTGATAAGACAATTGGTAGTTAAAGGTAATAAATAAATATCATAATTGTGCAATTTAAAACTACAAAATAACTAAATGCAAATATACTTATAAAAATTCAATATTTCAATATAATTTAAACTAATATCATTTTCATTTAATGTTTTGTATTAATATATAACTTTACATGTACTGTACAATACAATACATGTTTTTTTGTAAAGTTAATGTACATGTACAATTAATTAGTTTTTATCTAATCAATGATTAGTAATCATAAGTTGTGCCAAAATATAGATGTTAAGCTTTTGTATTTATAAAGATTAAAATACTAATTTTTATAAATATAAACATACATTACAACATAATTATCAATTTGTAAAATTATACTACGGTAAAAAACAAACAAAAATGTTAAATTTAACCATATAAATTTTAATTCATTGTCTATATATTCCATATAAATCCTGTGTTTATTTAATATTAGATGATAATTATGTAAACCAACTAAATAGAATTTAATTAATTTTAAACAAATCATATTAATAATTGCAGAAATCAATATATTAAAATAAATGTTATTAATTATTAGCAATAATACCTTTAAGAGATCATGGGCAGTTAATTAAATTTAATTGTTATGCCAAATATTTTGTTGTTAATTATATTGAGCTTTTAGTGTACTGAACAAATGTACTTGTTGCAACCTTAAAATAAATCAGAGTGCAATCTAGATTATTCGCACTAATTTGTCCGGATTCAACATTCAAACATAACAATGAAAAACTTATTTTATTTTATATTCACAAATTATTTTACACAAAAAATTTAATTAATTATACCAAGCACAAAAAATGTCCCCTAAATATCGGACATTCGCGCGATTTGTATCGTTGTTAAGGGTAGAGCCGTTGATGTTATTATTTACCACATGTTATCTATTGAAACGTAATCCACAGGACGTGTTATTTCAGGACAAGTTATGCCGTAATAAGTATAATATGTCGGAAGAGTTTTGCCTCCATTTGTCGGACAATAAGCCGAACGACACAAACAGTGGTCTGCGGACAGAGATCTTGTCGGACGCCGTGATGTATAACGCGTACAACCAATGGATGACACTTCCGATCAGTATTGTTTGGTCACTGTTTTTGGGCGCTTGGATTGACCGCTACCCTAAAGGCCGCAAATGGGTGTTCATTATCGGCACAATCACTCAGGCCATGGAGGCCGCCATACTTATGGTTAACTCATATTTTTTCAGTCACCTAAGTATTACATTGGTTGTTTCATTTATTTATTTGAAGCATATTTATTAAAAAACCTACTATGGTAATATTCTTAGGTGTCAACTGGATGCTAATATCATTTGTGCCATACACCTTATCTGGAGCATCTACCTGGACAACCATATACTCTTATATCGGAGTCACTACACCCGCTAAATATAAGACCATTCGCATGACAATTATTGAAGTAATTTTTGCGCTAGGTAATATTTTGTAATGATTAAAAATAACATTATTATAACATTTATTTTTATATTTTCTATTTCTTAATCAAACAGCGCAACCATTGGGTGTATATTTAGGAGGTTTACTGATAAACAGGGCGCCGGTGGGCGGCAACGGCCAGTTGCACAACACGGGCCTTATATTCATGATCTCGTGTTGCGGTAATTTAGTAGCATTTCTTTGGGTCCTATTATTCATTAATCAACAAAAAGATAAACAAAATTTTGATCAATATTTTGGCGACAATGAAAACACTGACAAATTATCAAACAATGATAATAACAATAACGTGAAAGTAATCGATAATAAAGCCGTACATCCGTTACGACTACTACTAGACGTGCGAAATGTGAAGCATATAGTGATGTCGTGTTTCAGGAGTCGACCGGACTTTGTGAGGGCGCAGATAATGATGGTAATAGTGGCCGACTTTTGCGCCTACTTTATACGGACCGGTGTTTTAGACTTTGCGTTTCAATTCACCGAAAAGGTCTACAGTTGGGACTCAAAAACATTTTCCCAATACCAGTCACTGTCGCTCATTATCACGTCTACCAGTGTTTTACTATTTACTACCGTAATGTTAAGTGTATGTACTTTAACCATATTGTTTAATTTATTAAGTTTTAATTTTAAATTTATTATTTCCAGTTTTTAAAGCTAAGCGATATGTGTCTGGCCATCATTGGTTACCTGAGCATATTAGCTCAAAATGTAATGCTTGGTTCAATCCTAAACCCTACGGGATATTATATCTCAATGGGGGTAAACTGTATGAGCAGTTTAGGGTCGATAGGGTTTAAGACACACGTGTCTAAAATTATTCCATCCCTCGAGTTGGGTAAGATTTTTACCCTGGTATCGGTGGTGGATTCAATGGCTCCACTCATTGCCGCCCCTATGTTTGCACTAGTGTTCAAAAGTACCATCACCACATTACCAGGCTTGTGTTTTCTCATACTGGCCGGCGTGGCTGCTATACCTATATTCATTGCTTTAACAATAGAATATGTAAATAGACACAAATCATCCATGTTGAGTGGATTTGATGCACATATAAATGTAGAATATAATGATAAATCTTGATAATAATTATTTAGATATTCTTATTAGAACTTAAAGTGTATATTATTATTATATAATTCATTAATTGCCTTTGTCAAAGCACATGCTGATCATGTGTATATTGCAAGTTAAATGTTAAATTCATACAAATATACATGTATGATATGATTTTGAGACAATAATGGATTAACGTTTTTGTTATCAGTATTTTAAGCACACATGAACATTTTTATATTAAATAATTCTTGAACTGTAAATAATATTATGGAAATTTTTCAGGTATTATTGTTTCACTTATGAGAGTTCATATTGGTAATAATTGCCCTTATGTGCAAATAAAGTGATCTTGTCCATATTACACTCACATACATAAACACGTTGAGTACAGAATTTTTAGTTACTTGTAACTACAATATTTTTAATTTAAATAAATATTATTTTAAAAAATTCATTTACAATATATTACAGTGCTGTGCAATCATGTGATCATTTTACTAATAAATTATTTAATTATTAAAATAAAAATAGTATCCAATAATTAATATACAATATTTTATTTGTTCTTACAGTTCTGTGTAAAAAATTTAATATTTTATAATTGTAAATTATTAATTTGAAATTAATATGCAAATCTATAAATAAACATGCATTTGTTAACTATTGATACAATTAGCATTAACACATGTACTAGGCATATTTTATTTTTACTGTTGCATTTTGATAAATTGAAATGTCTGTACAGGTATTTTGTGCCAATCAATGATCAGTGTCAACAATCTACATTGTAAATCAATAATCATTGTAACTCATATACAATAAATTAATTTAATCTCTACTATTAAATATTTTAACAATTTGTTAGAAGATTAGACAGATTAATTACAACTTACTTATAATTAAAATATTAATTTTACCCTGATGTACCACCACAATAAGTTATTACACAACAACATTGTAACATAAACAAAGGAAATAAATTAAAAAGGTTTTATAGAGAGGTTGCACTACTGTATATACTGTTTACTATTGTTTTGTAAGTTAATCCTTTAGAATAACAGATAATATTTAATGATTATTAATTGATTAAAACAAATAAATCTTTGGTATTTACATTTAACAAATATTTTACAAAAAACGTGATAATAAATAAATCTTCAGGGGGTATAACTGTTATTATAGATAGCCATAATCAGTCAATTTTTTGACATTAATTAATAATTGGTTAATGAAATAATTTTAATTAAATAGCTATTTATTTCAAAATACTTACTGTACGTTTAATTAGTTGTAATTTATTAATAAAATTAATAATAATATATAATAATTATCTATTTATTATATTATTTATAAAATATTTAAAAATATATGTACAACAAAATAATAATAATAATGTTTAATGAATGTGAGAGATAATTGTGGACAGAAGGGTCAGGTGCTCGACAAAGCAAATAAAAAATAAAACTACATTATAATCAAAACAAGCAAATTATAAAACAATAATTTAATACAAAATAATTATCTAAACCAAACTAATCCTGATTACTTTTTAAACTGCTAATACTATTAATATTTCGGACTCCATTATAATTATCTCCAGACAACTTGCCATTGGTGTGAAGGGTAGGCACGGGTTCAACATTTTGCTCAATAATAGCCGGCTCAGTTGGATTTGCGCCGGTGGGCACTTTGCTTAAATAATTAATACCTAGAGCTATTACTATGGGTATGGCCGCGAGGGTTGCCACGATCGCAAAGCATGTGCTAGGTGCGCTATCAATAGTCTTTCTAAACATTAGGGCAAACAGTGGTGAGGCTATCATCGGCGCGAATCCATCGACAAACGACATCATTGTAAACACTTTGCCCAACGCCGACGGCTCCGTCACTTTTGACAGGTAGCTCTTGTAGCCGATTGAACCCAAACTGTTCATACAGTTCACGCCCATCGATATGTAATACCCCGTGGGATTCAATATGATGGCCAGCACCAGATTCTGTAGCAATACGCTGGTGAAGCCAATAATCGCTAACCACATATCATGCAGTTTTAAAATCTGCGAACGTGATAATTAATTGTGTATTTAGTTTAAAGTGTGTGTAATTAATATTTAATCATGAACAAATAAATAATAACAACTAATTATTGTCAAAATGTTACCTTGATAAACACGTAGGTCATTAAAATAACGCTGATAGAGTTGATGGCGAGCGACATGGACTGGAACTGTGAATACTCTTTGGCGTCCCAGTGGTATATCTTTTCGACAAATTGAAACAAAAAGGTGGAATTGCCCGTACGTATCATGTACAGGCAAAAGTTGGCTATTATCACGAGCCATATCTTGGTGGTGGCCCTATTGTGACGGCGCTTAAAACACGACATGATAATCACCACGATGTTTTTGTAGTCCAACAGTAACCTTATGGGATGTTTCGCCCGATCGGCGACCGGCAGGTCAACCGTTTCGTCGTTTATTATTGCACCGGAATTTTCATCAGACTTTTCGCCGGGAATTTCCACACTTTTCGGGGAAATTTCCGGTTTGTTTTCCACGTTATTATCGCCAAAATATTTCTCAAAATTTTGCTTATTTTGTTGCTGATCGATGAAAAAGGCCGTCCATAGAAACGCCCCAATCATACCGCAACTGGACACAAAAAATATGAGCCCGTAATTATGCACTTGTCCATTGCCGAGCACCGGGGTCAAGTTGATCATTTGACCACCGACAAAAACGCCCAACGGTTGAGCTATTGTTATTTAATTAACATTTTTGTTATAAACATGTTTTAGTTATAGTGTGCATAACATACCCAGTGCCTGACACATTTCCAATATAGTCATCCTGGTGGTTTTCCATTTAGATGGTGTGGTCGCCCCCACATAAGAGTACATCGTGGTGAACGTGGAGGCGCCCGATAGTATGTATGGCACAAGTGCTAACAACACCCAGTTTACATCTGTATAAATAATTATAGATAATTATTGTAAATTAAATATTTACATTAAAACTAAATAACAATTACTTAGGCTAAAAAAGTAGGAGTTGCAGGCGTTAATGGCCGCCTCCATGGCCTGAGTGACCGCCGCGATAATGAAGATCCATTTGCGACCCTTGGGATACTTGTCGACCCACGTGCCCAAAAAGAGTGACCAGATTATACTTAACGGTTGTGTCAGCAACTGTTGGTACGTGTTATACATGACAGCGTCGGCCAGTATATCGGTCTTGATGTGGGCGTTGGTGTCGTTTTTCTTGATAGAGGCCAAGTGGTAGCAAAAGTCTTCAGGCATGTTGTATTTATGGACACAGATCTTGTCCTGTATGAGCACATCCAACGCGTTTCGTTTTACAAAGTAAAATGCCGTAAATAATACGATATACGGCTCCAGCCGTAACAGCGACACGAACCGCAAAAATCTGGCCACTCTAATTGCCATTTTACTTGCTTTTTGTGTTTTAGCTAGATGATTATTTTTGTTTTGTAGTATAGTTGTTGTTTGCAGCCCAATGTGTGTACAATTTGTTCACAACTGATTTATTTGACTACATGTATCATAACTTGTGATTGTTTTGTATCATTTAATTATTTGTTATGCTCTCACAAAGCGATTGACATTAATTAACTGATTATATGTGGAAATGATTATATTTGTCATTATATACGGTTTATACTGCACTGTTTGTTTGATTATTGTTATTGGATATTAGCACTGATTTAATGCCAATTAGTGTTAATTAAGGTAAATTACTGTCAATCTGTCATAGGGTATTTTAGTTCATTTGTATTTTGTAAAGCATATTTTATATAAGTTATTGACAACTTATTACTTACTACTGAAACATTCAATTGCAGATTGGTAAGATAAACTGATTGAAGTACATGTATACATTCACAATTAATTTCGTTGGAAAAGCTTTTGATGATAATTACCACAATGAGTTAATAAGAACTTAAATGTTTACCCCCATTGAAGTATTTTGTGATAATTGGTTCATAAATATTATTCAAATTCATTGTTAATTGGTTTATAATCTACAGAGAGCAATTGTGGCCTTTTTTGGCCTATAGCACCGAAACAGTGCTGGGTAATTCATATATAGTGTACGTAGAATAAATGAGTGAGGTTTATTTTTAATACTTTATTTGTAATTAAAGGGAAAGATATGAGTATAAACTTAGTAACGTTAATAGTGAGTGCAAGTTTTAAAATTGCATTGCTAATTTTTATAACAGCTCTCTCCTGTTTATAATATACATTATGCTGCATTACAGTTATTAATATTTCTATATTTACTCATTTAAATATATTTAGTATACATTTCTTACCGGTATATTGATTATATATGTATAAATATTATAAACAACTAACATGGAAAAGCTTTTGATGATAATTACCACAATGAGTTAATAAGAACTTAAATGTTTACCCCCATTGAAGTATTTTGTGATAATTGGTTCATAAATATTATTCAAATTCATTGTTAATTGGTTTATAATATACATTATGCTGCATTACAGTTATTAATATTTCTATATTTACTCATTTAAATATATTTAGTATACATTTCTTACCGGTATATTGATTATATATGTATAAATATTATAAACAACTAACTTGCTTATTTGACATGCAATCTTATGTAACTANGTTTATAATATACATTATGCTGCATTACAGTTATTAATATTTCTATATTTACTCATTTAAATATATTTAGTATACATTTCTTACCGGTATATTGATTATATATGTATAAATATTATAAACAACTAACTTGCTTATTTGACATGCAATCTTATGTAACTAAAATTATTTAGTTTTAAATTCATAAGTACTGCATTAATTCTATAATGCATGATTGATTTATAGCCATATGTTTAGAATAAACTTTACATACTAATTTCCATTTAATCAAATAAGGGTTTTACCACTATTTTGTATAAATAGTCAAACGTGCATTGAATTAAATAATTTACCACTTAATTCATGCTAGGCAATTAATTGACCAGTTTATTATATAACACTAAACGCATTTTGCTCCAATTGATAAGATAAACCTGTTCAGAAAGGTATCCGTAATAATCATGTGCAAATATCATCACAATCCTATTCGCTACCGTATTTATTGATAATTTAATAAGTGTTTAATAATAAGTTTCAAATACAAAAGAACAATATTGCAACTTAAAAAAATATTAAGTACAATTTTAGTACTATTAACTGTATATTTCCAGGTAAATGATGGTTAAACTGCAATAATATGATTATACACATAATTTTGTAGTAAATGTCATTGTTAGTTTATTGTATTTTTAATCCGCTATATATTCTGATATTAATATAATAAATAATATAATTAATAATTAAATGTTGTTTGTATACCGCTTTATTATGTTTATGCGTGAAATAGATGTTTTTAGTTTAAATATTTACAAGGATTTATTACAATACAAATATTACTCTATATTACATGGTTATCCTGTTAACTTTTTTGTTTATTAATAATAAATTATTGCAATTATGTTCAATATTACAGAACCAGGTTATATTGTAACAATAACAATTCAAATTAAATATAAAATATAAACTATAGACAATAAATTTTACAAAGATTGTATTGTATAATAACAAATTTTGCTATTGCTTGGTTATTGTTTTTAACTATTAATATTAATTCATAATAGTGACACTTTATTTATATTAGTGACAATTTACATCAGACACTGATAAGACCATATAGGACCACTGAATAACTGATAATTTATTACCATAAAGAATATTTGCTAATAACATAACATAATTTATAAATAGCAAATATGCTTATGTAATGTATAAATTAAGTTAAATATTTTAAATTGTTGTGAACAGTAACTGTGATTTTTAAACTATACCCCCAATAATCAACAATGTCTATGTATTCAGATTTATCATTACTGGTAAATAGACAAACAAAGCAACACTTTATGTATAATCCTGTATATACTGTACGCCTATCGACCAGACAATTATTTATCATCATTATCTCAATCGTTGTAAATGTAAACTAAATAACTTTATAATCTGGGTTTTAAATTGATAATTATTTCAATGTTAAGCAAAATAAATATAAACATTTTAAATTTTATCAAAACTAAAAATGTGCAGATTTAATTAAAATTGAAATGTACTTTCACTCGATATACCGTATATCACAACATGTTATAAATTATAATCAATTCAATAAGTTGTTAGATAACTATATATAAAATACTCTATGTTAAACCAAAATCATATAGTTTTATCTTTAAAATTAAATAACTTATTTGTTTAATAGTAAAACCATACAAAAAAAACATATGATTATTATTTAATATAAACTTTTTTTGAAATACTTTTAATTGCATTTAAAATATATAACATTTTATGCGGCGATATATTAAGTGTAAAAGTATTTAGAAATTAAAAAAACAAAAAACCAAATGTTTTGCAATAGTTACATAAAAACTTCATTCCTCATTCTTAACATATCACTCAAAATTAGCAGTAATTTAATTATTTTAAAGTATTTTAAATATATATTTAGATGTTTTAAAATAATAAATAAACTTCAAGTGCAAACAGAGTGCTAAAAATGTGATAAAAATAAGTTATTATTAAGTTTAATTAAAAAAATACTGTATATAAAAATAATTTGCCACAAAAACCCAAATGAAAAACAAAATCCAAATATTCTTCCGGTTCTTAAGCCTCTTAAGAGTGGAACCATTTATGATAATTCTGGCGTTTAGTCAATACTTTCGTCGGACACCACTGGAAGTGCTAATTCAGGACAAACTCTGTAGAAATCGGTATAATATGTCCGAAGAGTTTTGCCTACAATTGCCGTATATGTCGGACGTGGAGACCGGACACGAGATAAAGACCCTGATATTGTCCGACGCCGTGAAGTACAACATGTATCACACGTGGATCACAATGGCTCCGGGCATTGTCTGGTCCATATTCCTGGGCCCCTGGATTGATAAGTATATCAATGGCCGCAAAGCGATATTTATCATCGGTTCCATCACCCAGTCCTTGGAGGCGGCCATGAATGCGCTTAATTCATACTTTTTTACCACAAGTATTTGTTTTACTGTTTATTTTGTTTTAAAATTTGGTTAGTGAATTAATTAGTGATTTTTTGTTTTTACATCTAGATATAAATTGGATTTTAATCTCGTTCATACCGTACACACTGTCCGGTTCGATGACATACACGACCGCCTATTCCTATGTCGCGGTCACCACTCCTACCAAATACCGTACGTTACGTATGTCTGCTCTCGAAGTATTAATAGCCATAGGTTTGTCTTCAATTATAAATATTATTATTATTATTAAGTTTCTTATATTAAGATAAATTATATTATTTTTAATTTTTAAACTTATATAATAGGAATTCCCTGAAAACCTATGATTCAATGTAAACTCCTGCTAGTTTACATAGTAAAAATGAACTTAAATCGTACATAGAAAATTCCTATTATATAATATAATAAATTAACAGAAAAATTGTAGTATTACACAACAAAATTATTTATAAACTGTAACTAACTGTTAAAGTCTATAACTTAAAGCTCACAATCAATGTTAATACTTATTTTTGTTTTATAAACTAATATAACAAAAGTTTATCTGCAAATTACTTTATATATAAACATAAAACAATTAACATTATTGAAATGTATTGCAGCCCAACCGCTGGGAGTGTACACATCGGGTAAATTAATAACATGTACGCCATTGGGAGGCAACGGACAGCTTCATAACTATGGGCTTATATTTGCGATCAGCAGTTTGGGTGCATTCGCAGCGTTTCTATGGGCCGTCTTCGCCATCAACCAGGAGACCGATCGGCAGCTGTTTCGACACCATTTCGGCGATTGTCGACCACTTCTGGCCGACCGGACGGCCGAACAAAGTGCCCAATTCGCCGCAAACACCGAATACATACACCCCTTAAGGCTGTTGTTTAACGTGAATAATGTGCGCGAAATCGCCCAGACTTTGACCAAACGTCGGCCCAATTACGTGAGGGCGCAGATATGGCTCGTGATTGCGGGTATGTTTGGCTGCTATTTCGTATGGACAGCTCCGGTGGCCTTTCTATTCCAGTTCGTCGAGAAGATCTACCGCTGGGACGCCCGGGTCTACACTGAACTCAGCTCGATTGGTATGATCGCCAACTCGCTAGTGGTAATTTTCATCACACCCCTGCTCATCAAGGTATTTGATTTAGGAGGTGGAAGATGCTACTTGATTAGCAATTAAAAAATAATAAGATTAAATTTATGTTACTATTTATTAATTACATTGAAAATGATCCAGGTGTTCAAATTTAACGACATGATTCTGGCCATAATCGGATTTTCCGGCTCATTCATGCAGTTGATTGTGTTGGCGCTGATCCGCACACCACTCGGCTATTTCGTGTCGCTTGTGGTCAACTGTACGGCCAGTTTGGGACCCATCGGTTATAAGACACATCTGTCCAAAATAGTAGACGCGTCTGAATTGGGCAAAGTTTTCACCCTAATGGCGGTAATCGACGGCTTTGCACCAATATTTGCCGCATCCATATTTACCGTGATTTTTCAGCGCACAATCGACACGACCCCCGGCCTATGCTTTCTCATTCTGGCCGCCGTTTCAATAGTACCGATACTCATTGCGATGGTCATCGATATCGTCGACCGCCTGGCCATTGACACCAATATTGATACAATTAAGGCTAACATTGAGGCAAATGCTAAATGTAATAACAATGATGACAGTAATTATGGTAATTACCAGAGTATTAAATGCGGTCGCGCCGATCGGGACAAACGTCTGGCCAGTTATTGTCAGTACGGCTGCAAAAAGGGCCGCAAAGCTGGCCGTAAATACGGGTACATCGAGTCGGAGAATGATTGCGGTGTCGCCGACGACGACTTCCTGGTCACTGACCCGACCACCAGCTCAGCCATTACTGATCACACCGACAGTCTCTGTATTGCCTGTTGTGACGGCACCTGTTGTTTGAGTACATAGTTAATTATTAGGTTAATAAATAAATTAAATAAATTGAAATTAATTTGCACTAATTTTTATAATAAATATTTATATTTGTTTACAATTTTGTAATGATGGTTGTTTCATTTATTAAATTAAATTAAACAATAATGTTGCAACGAATGAATTTGACACAACATGCACTTATTAAACAAATAAAAACTGTACTACGGGTACTGTTCAAGTACATTGTGAATAATGTTGTTTTATTTGGATAGTTGTATTAATTTATATACTTTAGTCCAAGTTATTTTGCAACAGGTGCATGACATTTTATAATCAGTGTCATTAAATATTATCACTATTTTATATATTTCTTAACTTACGAGTTAATATTTTAATTAGTTGTAATTATCATTAATTATCACATGTTTTTATCAAGATCCAACTCATATTCTACAAGATTAAGATACTAATTAAAAGCTAGAACTATTATTATATATAAAAACAAAACACTTGATAGAAATTATTAAAAAATTAAATATTAAATAAAAGTCAAATTTCAATTGTGTTAACAAGTTGTAACTTAATTAAATAAAATATTAAATATGACAAACATAAACAATAAAAGTTTTTCTTCTTATGTTAAAACATTTGCTAAATTTGCCACTTTGCTAAGAGTGGAGCCGTTTCTACTATCATTCACCATGATCAGTGCTATGTATCAAATACCCGTAATGCAAATGGTACAGGATAAAATTTGCCGATCGACTTACGGCCTAAACGCCACATATTGTGGTCGATTGCCGGGTATGAAGCCCTGGGAAGACGTGTTGAATGTCAAGTCAAAGGTGTTGGTCGACACACAAGAGTTGGTTACTTACACGCAGATTATATTGACTGTACCCTCGCTTTTTATCTCGTTGTTTGTCGGCTCGTGGTTTGATCGGTATATACATGCTAAAAAGATTATGATGATTGCCGGTTCGTTATCGTTCGCTCTTCAGTGTCTCATCTTGGTGATTTTGGATTATTATTTTGTTTCTGGTATGTAAATATTATTAAATTAATAATAAGTGATACAAACAAACTATATATTAAAATTAATCTGTTTTTCATTACTGTATTAATTCATTCATTACATGTGGTTTATTTCCCACTAGATCCATATCTCCTATTATTATCAATGGTACCAGCGCTTGGCCTAGGTGGTATGTTTGTCACAATGTCAGCCATGTATGCATACATCTCGACCACAACACCACCACATATGCGGTCCCTCAGACTCACAGCGACAGAGATTGTCTCATCAGTTGGTTAGTAGTCGCTTAATAATCATTTACTAATTATGATAAAACTATTATAATTTGAATTATAATTAAAAAGGACACCCAATTGCCTTATGGTTGGGCGGTGTAGCGCTGAACACCCAGTCGTGGTTCAGTAGTGGTCAACATTTGAATTACTCGGCGGTGTTTGTGGTGGGCGTCGGTATCGGTGTGTTTGGTATGATTTGGACACTACTTATGGTGAATGAAGAGAAAGATATCATGAGATGGGAGGAAGCGTTTGGTTCGGTGGTCGACGACGGGATCACAAGTGATGGCACGGATAGTGTTGTAGTGAAAAAGCTAAAGTCATTTGAAGACAATAAACACATCCATCCCTTGAAACTGTTGTTTGACTTTAAAAATGTTAAGGAAGTAATTGTCACGTGTTGTAAACCGAGGGCTAATTACGTGCGAATACAGATATGGGTATTGTTTGTGTCGATACTATGTTCACAATTAGCACATTCAGCTCCGGCTTACTTTCTCATGCAATTCGCGCAACGCGTCTATAACTGGGATTCGTCACAATTTAGCAATGCCTCAGCCTATGCCCAGATTGCTGTAGGTGTGGGTACTCTTATAATAACACCCATGCTCATTAAGGTAAATTATAATACTATAGCATTTATTGTAATTTTTAATATACATGTACGTATATGCTTATTAAACTATAAGCAAAATGTGATATTAGATAATTTAAAATAACAATATTATTATCGCTATACAGGTATTCAAAATAAAAGACACAATACTATCAATGATAGGACTGGTGGCGTATTCGGCCCAAAACCTTATCCGGGCATTTGTATTGACTCCCAACGGGTTTTATTACTCCCTAATTCCGGGCACATTTGGCAATATGTCTAATATAGGCATTCGGGCACATTT